ATGGCTTTTAGGAGATGCAATTGCTTTTAGAGCTTTTAGAGCCTCCAAAGAAATCTTTCCCTGACATATTAGGCTCTTCTGCAGAGGGCAACCTCTATCAAGAGCACATCTGCACTAAACTACATGGGCCGGATCAACCGCATTGTGGAAAAAGATTGGGAAGAAGCTCCAAGTAAACAATGATAGAGCTGCCTATTGTAGTATGGTACAACTATCAAACTACTGATGCATTATTCTTGATGATGTTTACCGCTATATATCAAATTTTGAAATTGGATTGTTTATTCAATGTTACAAGAAAATGTCTTTAAAAAAAAAACAGTCTCCTATTAGCTGTGGAATAGCGTATGTACAGCTGTTGCACCTAGGTGAAAGCATTCAGAATACAAAAATTATGTTGACACAAAAAAAGTACCAAAGGGAGTTCTTATGAACGAGAAACACACAGTGTCTTAATGTCTGTCACAACCAGGGAAGGTTGGTATGTGTAAGCCAGACTTACATAACTGGGGACATCTGGGGATATTTGGTCAAGCAAGAGTGCACATCACAATTTTTTTCTGTCTTCTCCAACACACAGTCTATGCCTAAGTAGTATCAAGCAAGAATTCAAGCCAGGGCATCAGTGAATGCTTTTCTCCCCTTTTTTCTGAGAAAAGTCTCTTCTTTTCATCACAGCTCAAATGTTGTGAAGAATGAACTCCCTGTGCAGTTGTCAAACAGTACTTGAAAATTTCATTTGCTTTTCAGTCTTAGGCACTTGTCTATATAAACTGCCTGCTAATGCCAGTCCCTAGGTTAGGGATAGTCTGTGTGAACTGATGGCAGTGAGGTATAAAAGTAATCTATTGTACAGGTTTTGCGCTGCGACTGAAATGCCCGAGTTATTTGCCATTACAGGAGTTTACCATATTCATGGCAAAGAAATTGCTACTTATACAGGAATCCTTTTTCAGGCACTTTTCCACTGACTTTCAGAAACTCTGCCTGCATAAAGCCTAAGCTTGATATCACAATTTCAATTCCAGTTGCATGCAAGTTTTGCATTGGGCTGAGAGATGTAGGCAAATACCTCTCTCATTTATCCTGCGCCTATTTCACACCTCTCCAGCAGGACAGGGAGTCCCTGTGAAAACTGGCCTCGGAATATTTCACAAGTCTCAAAGTTTCCACTGTATAGAAATAAAATCTCTCAAAAACATGCATCTGAATTTTGCAGTTTAACCCTACCACCATTCCTCACATGAACGATCCTTTCTTAAAAAAGGAAACAGGTATTCAGTGTTGGTCTCTGCTCCTCCACCAACAAAACAAAATCTGGAATTAACACAATGTGTCCAATAAAAACATGGTTTTATTCTGTATAAGTTTCCCTCTTCTCTCTTTGTCCCCCCCCCCCCATCTCTATACATTAGAGATACATATCATGGTACCTGTAAGAATCATTTTGCTGAGTGTCTGCAGGATTTCATATCCTTAACGTGGAGACCAGCAACCTGATTTTAATCAGACCCATAATGAATACAAAACCAAAATCAAGGCTCATCTTTGGTTACTTGTGAAGCAACACACACGTAATGTACAAGAAAATAAATACTTGGTAAGCCCATTCAGTTAATACCAAGGACTCATTATTTCTCTAAGTTTGCAGGATCAGACCACGTTTAGTCTTTTATGATATTTTACATTTTTTTGTTATATTAAAGATAATCCCTGTGACTACATTGTGATAGTATATATGGTCATTAACATGAATATACACATTGATTAATCTATAGAAATATTAGCACTTGCATAAACATATTTGCTTATGGATATTAATAAACTAAGAGTCAGCTTTATTTTAGGAACAAGGTTTTTCACTGGTGTAAATGCAGTGACACAGCTGGACACAAAAGTTACCTGCCATGAATTGCCAGATGTTGATTGTCCAAATTGAAGTGGAACAGCATCTTATTAAAAAGGCAATCCAATACCTGAAACTGCAAAAGGAGAAAAAGTTTACATACCACTATAGTGCATCTGTCTAATTTGGAATATACTGTCAGATCATGCATAAGCTTGAACAGAATACATGCTTTTCTGGTAAAAATGGACTTTCTGAAGTTTTTGCTCTAGATTCTTCAGGAAAAAATTAAAAAAGAATACTTATAATTGTTATTTATCATATAATCTCTGTAAAACACAGTATATTTATTTATCAATTTGATAACATTCTCTTTAATTCCAAAGTGAAATGGCATTTCATATTGAAGTGATAGTCACTTTCAAACCCCTTCGGTTTTTTTAGGTGCTATTGTGTGTATATATTTTTTTCCCCTTTTAAAGTGTAATGCTTATAGTATTACTATGTCAAATTCAGATGAATCGTGACAAACAACATTTTCACAATGGGAGATGTTAACATGCTACATTCCTTTCTTTGAAAAAATAAAATAAATGATCACAGAAAACACATTTTAGTTTAATTATATCCTTTAGGTCATTAAAGTGATGAAATGTGCATGTCAGTCCTCTTTTCATCCACAGATTACTTTAATTCTTCATGTGCATATTTTTTCCTCTGGCTTTCTTTCATATTTGCTTTGTTTTGAAATTGCATGCCGTCTGGATTATTTGTGCATGACCTCCACACTAATTTCACATTGAATGTTTACACACTCTGAGAGATATTCATGGATCATTTATTCTACATGTGCATTTTTTTTCCTTTTTTTTTTCAGTTACTGAACTTTAAATATGCTTGAAATGTAAAAGTGGCATGAAACTTTGGTGACACAACTATACAACTATTTTAATAGAGATTTTCAGTACCTAACTTCACATCTTTCAGAAATACATATTCTAAACCACATTTTATGCTGTGCTTCCAAAATTTAATAAAATTAATTGTGTTCTGAATTGGAGCTCATTACTGGTTATATTTCATTCGAGCAATGACAAACACATGAAATTGGTCCTTTAAATGAATTGAGCAGGTCTCTGCTCTCTTGGAGGTGATCGCTTGCAAAGTCCTGTGTCTGGGCATTGCATATGTTCAGTAAAGGAAACAGTGTAGGACATTGTATGGTGAACAACACAGACCACTTCAGAGAAGCACTATCTGTAGCTCCGCATAGAAGTCATCTGGAAATACCAGCTTCTCTCAATTGACTGTATAGGGACTCTATTTCCTTATTTAGTATCTGTAATAGATGTCCCAAATAGCTGTAGCCTGCTTTTACATAGTACAGTGCTATGAGCTCTTGTGACTGTGTATAAAGTCAAAGGTCATATCACATGAAAAAAACAATTTCTTCCACATTAATTCCCCATTTGAAGAATTAAAGCAATAAATGTTGTTCAACTTGCAAGGAAATACTGCTTGTCAGCAGAATTCCACCTCTAAATCACATAAAACTAAAAGCATATCCAGAGGAACCTAATGAGCTAGTACACACGAATAAAATAAAGTATTTTTTTTAAATCATGAAAAAAAGCATTAAAACACACTGAAGAAGTTGTTGATTAAGAGGCCATATAAAACACTATGAATCCAACAGCAGTTACCAGAAAAAAAAATTATTTTAATTGGCATAGGGCTGAATTCATATACCTACTACAAGTAAATCAAAGGCTTTCGCTTTCCTCTTTGCAGCCTATTCTCTTCCAGCCAGTTAATTAATTCTGTGCACAGTCTACTATGATTAAAGATGAGTGGCTTGATCTCAGAGCATGCTGAGCCATCTATAGCCCTTTATCTGAACAAGCCAAACACGATAGTTCCCAAATAAGGAGCTGAAGGGTGTGATTTGAGACCTCTGTAATCAAATTGATCCAATCTCCAGGGGCTTTGCCTTCAACCTGCAGACCTCACCGCAACCACCTCTGATTCTTTACAGCTGCTTGGTTTGGACTGACTTGAGTCACTACAGTTCTCTCCACTTTTACAAACTAGTTGTTTTGTCAGCATGAGTGTGACAACAATTAGACGTCCCTGTTTTTGCCCCATGCCTTTTCTCCTTCACAGTCATTCAATGACAAGCGTAAAAAGAACTTCATCTTTTCACGAAAATTCCCATTCTACAAGAGCAAGGAGCAGAGTGAGCAGGAAACAAGTGATCCAGAACGTAAGTAACCTCTTGGAGATGATGTCACATGCAGCAGCACAAAAAATGGATGACGCATGATACCAGTATCCCACACGTCTAGGCAAATTTCTGTTGTAGGCAGGCAGGAGAGGTATTACTACTGTGACCAATGTGTGACTGCAGTTTGGATCCAGCTGGTCCTGCCTTCCCTGGAAACATCGTTTTCAGAAGAGTGAAACAGTGACCTTAACTTTTGGAAGAGCAAATGTGGCTCCTTAAAGCTGTTGTGGTACCTGTCATAAATCCAAACTTGTCCCTGATTAAATATTCCCAGATCAGAACTGGCTCAAAATAATGCAGATGCAATTTCTTTGACAATACTAAATTGCCACCTTCTAAACGGTCTGCTCTAATCCCTATTTTGCCTTTGACATTCTCCAAATTGATTGCCATGGGCAGCTTCACTGAAATTTTACCAACTAAGTGAAGCAACCGCGCTAACAGCCTAAAGAAGTAAATCAGATCTTGGAATGTGTACCTCCCCAGACATTTACTGCTTGCTTAAATTGTCTAGAAAACCAGAATTATTAAAAATATATGCTGGTTCCAAGCCCAAATACTCTCTTTCTTTCCTAATAATTCTCTCCTAAATTTATCTGGTGAGGATCATTTCTGGGACTTTATTTACTGGGTTGTTCCTTCTTCCTCACGGCTCCAAGAGCCATGTATCACGGTCACTGTGTCTTTCATTGGCTGCATTCCCATAGAATATGGGTTTAACGGTGTTTCAGAAAGAAAAAGCAGGGATCCAGATTGCTCAATCACCATGGTCAGTCATGGTAGTATCCATTTCAACTCCACTGACTTCTTCCTTCCTCTTCTGCGGCTGTTCTTCCTTTCTCATTGCTCTCTCTGGGGACTTCCGTGCAGGACATCCCCGGATTAGGTGACGACGGTTATGGAACAAAGACTCTGAGTAAGTTCCCAGGAATGGTCACTGTAAATCTTTTTTTGTTTTGTTTTGTTTTGGCTTCTGTTCCTTCTCTGAGGACCCTCCACTCCTAGCATGCACAAGATAGAGTTTTATTTGTTACCCAGCTGTGAATGCATTAAAAATGTTTCAATCGTTTTGTTCTGCATGACGATATTAAATAACATACAGTGTATCAAGCAGACACTTTCACTTCTTTCGTAATAACACCTTTTGTTTCTGACAGTATGTTATTGTTCCCATCATGGCAGTTCTGTAGAGTAGCATACCTAGAACTCGTTTTGCTGCCTAGGCTGTTCCTTTCAGCAACAATCCCTCCCTCTCCATCTCAAGGGAAAGCTAAGCATTTTAACTTGATCACATCCTGAAGAGATCTATAGAAAATTGTTTTACGCTGTTGCTTCTGCATTTTCAGCTTTTTGCATGGGAGTGTTTGCTACTTTGCTGGATTTTAGATTAGTGTTTGTTATTAATGGAAGAAGTCATTTGCAGGCTAGAGAAGACCATGCCTTCTCCAAAGCTAATTTTGGACCCATTTCACCATTAGCAACCTATTCTCTGTCATGCAACCTTAATCAATTTCTTTTTCTGATGCAGCAATCCTGTCTCAAGACTTGGCATTGCACAATGTGTAACCTGTCAGATAATTGTTCTGAAACAATTTTGCTTCCTTGAAAGTTAGACCAGAAAAAATTGTATAGAGTGAAATATTTGCAGCTAATTTCTGTATAAATAGCTCCATTATGTTCTGTATCCAGAGCTAAATAATTTAAACAAAATGCCACTTGCATGTGTTTGGCTGCTTCCTTCTCAGTTCTTCTTTTTCTTAAGCACCAAGTAATTGGAGCAAAATGTGTGTGAATGTTAACGCTGCATCGCCTACTGTTTTGTACGTGGTTTGAGGGACATTTTAATGGTTTAACTTTAAGCCATACAGTAGCTTGCAATTTAAAGATGAAAGCTTCATCTCTTGTACAAAGAAGAATAGTTCTGCAAGACTAGTTTTGTCAGTGATAGACAGCAAATGTCACCGCCACCTGAATTTTAACCATTCTGCTACTTTAAGTGCCATAGCAGCTCATTAACAACTAATGCAGATCCTTCCCTGCTAAAGAGAATACTTCTGATCTGATAACCCTCCCAAATATCTGTGTCCTTACAAAGACAAATCTCCATAAGATCCAACCGTTTGAAAGGAGATAACTGAATTCTGCAAATTGCTAAGGGAAAAATAGCACAGAGGTATTACATAGGCTCTAGTGTCCCTATTAACATTTCACCTAGCTTTCAATTACTGACACACCTCTAGACATTCCAGCCATCCAAATTTCACTAATATTCAACTCAGACGTGCTTTTTAATGACAGTTCTTACTATGAAGGGTATTTGTTCTTTTTTAATAAAATTATTCAGGGTCCTATACAGCATATTCGAGACAACCCTTGCTGACTTGCTATGAAATGTCCAAAAGTCAATATACTGTTTTCTTCAAAATGTAAGTTTAATTTTTCTAAGCTTCTTACTAAGCCCAAGATCAAAGTTTTCCATTACTATTTTTATGAGGTATCATCACCTCTCATTTCTGCTGCTCCAGTAACCCCATCAGTCCCACTCTCTGAACCCCAAGCCATTAGACTGGTATCTGGGGGTAATGCAGCACCTTGCAGAGAAGGGGTGGTCTTGGCACTGTTCTCATAGTCATCCTTCGTGACATCCATGCATGGTCTCCTCTGGGTTCATCCCAGGGGATTCTTGGATTTTATGAGTTCCCTCTCTCATTGGGAATGTTCAGAGCAATTGCAGGTGGATGTTGTGGGTCACACACAGCCTAATCTGTCCACTGGTGTAATGACAAATATTAGACCAATTTTGGCTCCTGGTGTTTGTCAGGAGGTGACTTATTTGTACCCATTGTCCATGTAACCACTGTGTCCCCTTCTCATTAACCCAGCATGGCTCCCCGCTGTATAGCCATTATACCACTGGCTTCTAAGTGTCCTAGACCAGCTGAAAAGTTTCAACTGTCAAATGGTGTTTCAGGTGCAAAGTAATCAGTATTTCAACCTGAAAAACTGTTAAAACCACTGTTTAATATGGTTCTGCAGACCTCCTGGAGGCCATATAGCATGGTCTGACTAACTATAAACAGTCTGCTGACTACAGTTTGGGAACAGCCACTTCGCATGATACAGATTGCACCTTCCTTTAAATAATATGATAATAGAAACAGGACACCATACGTGTCAGACCACAAGTGTGAGCCATCGTGATAGATCTTCTACACTTATTCATCTGTCCAGTGGTCTGGTAAAGGTTTGCATAGTGTAGCTCAAATCCTGAGGCTAGATAATGCCTCAAAAAATATTTCTTCCATTTTTTTCTTAGAATCATAGAATCATAGAATCATAGAAAGGTAAGGATTGGAAGAGATCTTGAAGATCACCTAGTTCCACCCCCCCTGCCATGAGCAGGAACATCTTCCACCAGACCAGGTTGCTCAGAGCTCCATCCAACCTGGCCTTGAACACTGCCAGGGAGGGGGCAGCCACAGCTTCTCTGGGCAACCTGTTCCAGTGTTTCACCACCCTCATGGGGAAGAATTCCTTCCTAATATCTAATCTAAATCTGCCCTCTTTTAGTTTAGAGCTGTTAGTTTTGTCATCAGCTTTGTCTTCTTTTTTTGGACCCATTAAAATAGATGCAGTTACAATATTTGATAACAAAATCATTCTCATGCTAATTTGTTAACCTTTTGGGACAGTGCACAGCGCTTAAATACGGATACAGGTTAGAAGTTTAGCAGGAATAGTTCCAATGTATTAATTATGCACCTCACAGCGCAGAATAATAAGAGCAGACACTCAGGTTTCATTAAATTAGTCAAGATGTTCAGTGAGATGCATGTGGACTACACTGCTTGAAAACAAGTTATCTGACATGTCATTAACTCTCTTATCAAGAGAAGACATGGCTTTGCCATGGCACATATCACTAGTGACGTATAGTCACTTTCTGAAATGCCACAAGAGAGAAAGCTTTCATTTTACCTCTGTACATTATCTAAGATTTTTCAGGTGATGTCACTGCATAGCTTTTATTTCCCTTCTGCACAACTACCTTTGCATGACTGTGGCAGTTCTTTTAAGTTTCTATGGCTCTGTGGTGCTTGGTTATGTTCTTTAATTTGCTGTACTGTTCTTGCAGAACATGTTTCTTCTAATGCCAGCGATAGTGAAAGTAGCTACAGTAAGTTACTGCTTTCATTAGAGTCCTTTTACTTTGCATTGCTTGTTCTGTTTGTTTATTTTATTTTGTTTCTCTCCTTGCTACTCTTTTGTTAATGTTAAAAAGACGGTTGGAGCAAATGGCTTGGAATTCAAATTTACAACCACATCTTGAGTACAAAGCTATAAAAGAAAACTGGCAACCTTTGTAAGAAAAGAGAGGAGGGTTGTTATTTGGGATGTATTTCAGGACATAAAACCAAACCTGGCTTTGGGTAGGCTGTGAAAGTCAGCATTAGTTGGTTTAGTGACAAGAAGTTTATTTCAGCAGGGATGTGGCAGTTTCTTGATGATCTTTTCAGAGTAAAATTACTCCACAGCTGTAGTCAAATCTGCAAAAGGCATTCTCATTACAAGGTCACAATTTTCACTTGCATTTCTGCATGAATGTATGCAGGGCTAAGAAATAGTCCTAAAAATTTTGTTGGGCCCTTAATTTTGGCAGTACATATTTCCTAATGCATACTGAAGTCTTAAAAAAAAGGTAAGATAGACCTTCATCCCTTAGACACTGCCACTAAATGACACTGATCCCCTATAAGTGAAGATCCCAGCCCCGCAACCTGGCTGGGTTGGAATTACAGACTCCATGTGATCATGTAGCTGTGAGACTGATTGGATGTTCTCGGTAATCATTAGTAATACCCCAAAATTTAACCAATAAAACTATTATTCTGGAAGTGCTGAAAAGCAAAAAAAAAAACCCAAGGCATTAAATAAATGACTGGAAATGTAATAAAAGGTAATTAAAATGACAGATTGCCTAGTAAACCACTCAGTTGTTTGATTTTTTCAAGCCATTTGCTTAGCAAATCAAGTTTTCCATCAGTCACTCAGCACTTGTGCTAAGCACCCGCATACATTCAGGTAATCACTGGTATCATACCTCATATTTACTAGTCTTGATATAGTGCATAGCAGTTGAGCTCTGTTAATAAACACTGGTTTGTTTCAGTAAAACAGCTAGTCTTATGCAATTCTGAAATGGTAAATTAGTTTGTATTCTCTTGTATTGCAAAGGTTTCCTTGGAAAGCAATTGCCAGAGTCACAAGAAAACAGTAGGCGCATTTGAACTGCCAAGACCCAATTCTTTATTTTTAATGTGTCTTCTACCACAGAGGAGAGGAGGATTTTCTGTTTGAAATACAAGATGCTCTTTCCCCAGACTAACTTTACAGTCAGGAAAGAGTCAATAGATTTAAATTTTCCAAAGTTTGCGTGAGTCAAATCTCCTCCAGATATTGTTTATTTCAGGGTGAGCTCAAGGTAAAAGCCCAGAGGAGAATATAGGCTCGTGGCTCAGCACATCCCAGGCCTGATGAACTGTCCCAAACAGGAGACTTGACTTAATTTAACAAGGGTGCCCAGTTGCAGCCAAACATTTGAGGCAGGTCCACAAACTCTAGTTCGCAAAGTTCATCACAAGACAGACCAGATAGCAAGTTCCTCCTTGGCTGTGCAATACCCTGAAACAAAGTGTATGTTATGAGGTGCAAGAAAGGGGATAGAAATGGTTTAGGGAAGTAAGTTTGGACATAGGTACTTGGAAGGAATAGTGTTGCGGTTACAACTGCCCATGGTAGGCACTCTCCTTCTAGAGTGGCATCCATCTGGGCAAGCTCCTATCTCAGTCCAGCAGCATCCAGACTACATCATGTTTGTTGGCACTCCCCATGCATTACTGGTGTGTCCAACAACTG